GTAAATAAATAAAAATGTCAGAATTACCTCCCACTTCACATGTATCTATTAACATTAATAGATACAACATTTTAATAAAATCAAGTCAAGGTTATGGACTGTTGAAGGGGTATTAAAAGCCTCTGCTGGGCTTAATATTTCTGACTGCATTGCTGTACAAATTTGCTTTCAGACCAAGCTAAGCCTCATTTATGTCATGACACGGGCAATTGATCACCTAAAAGTAAATGTATGTAATTAAGCTAAAATGCTGCTGATTGTAAATGTTTTTCAGACAAGGAGAATCAATCTTTTGTAAGTTCTTTCCTGACATCTTTGCTTTCATGTGTCTATTTCTTATCCTCTTCCTCCTTCAAAGTGAAACATACCCTGATTTTAAGTGCTGTGATCCAACAACTTTGAGCAGCTAATCCTCAGCCCTTTTCTCATGTTATTATAAATCTTAGAGGTCATTAACAAACTGCACCTGAAGAAATATTAGTCTGATGGTGGCAGGAACAACTGTGTTTATCACACTGTTGCAGACAGTATTATGGCTGTCAGAATGAACGTGTTTACACACGGGAGATACTGTTACACACCTACAGTCACTCCAAGGTACCAGATGTCCACGGAAAAAAATGAACTCCAGATTTTCTCGTCACACACACCTTCACATACACTTTCAATTAGCTGAAAAATTTGTCAGCCTGTTTAAAAATGTGGTTCCATTTAATTGCGAGTCTGTCTGAGGCGCAATGAGACATAACAATAACAGTAGGAACAGACCTTCTATCTGTCTCACTCTGTTTCTTTCTCAAAACAACATTTCTTATCTCACAGAGACACACACATACACACAAAGCTATGCACCCAGAAATTATTTTGATTCTGACCTTTGATAGGGATTCTTTAGATCCATGCTGTCACTTTTGAAGGACAGAGTCAGACAGAGACAACAGAAAAGGTTAAAATACTGAAAAGAAAAAAAAAAACCTTTAGGAATGACATTTAAGTAACACATATTTACTTCATATGTTATTTTGTTACCGGTATGTTTTTTTTTTTACAACAATCACACAGGATTTCATCAGAAAAAAAATCACTCACTGTAAAATGTAAGTGTAGCAGAGCAATGCAGCTGTGGCTGTATGCTTAGGATCATTATTGTTCGTTGAAGGTTGAACCTCCGCTTTAAATCTGCTGCCACTCAGCTCCATCCATGTTCCTACCAACTCTGTCCAGCTTAGGGTTTAGAATAGAATATTATGAAGTAGAATAGAATATATTAGAATAAAATGGAATGGAATGGAATAGTATACAATAGAATACAAATTTATGTAATAGAAGAGAATGGAATGAAATAGAATGAAATAGTAAAGCATACAATGGAATGGAAAAGAACAGAAAAGAATAGAATATAAATGGACAGAGTGGAGTGGAATAGAATAGAATGGAATGTCTTAGAATAGAATAGAATGGAATCAAATAGAATTGAATAGAATACAATGGAATGGAATTGAATGGAACTGAATGGAATAGAATACAATGGAATGGGATAGAATAGAGAGGGATAGAATAGAATAGAATAGAATAGAACAGAACAGAATAGAATGAAATTGAATGGAATAGAATATAATGAAATATTGTACCCTGTGTTTAAAATGAATGTAACCACCGAAGTACACAATAAGCACTCAATAAACACGGTTAATATTATAATGAAACAATACAAAAAAAAAGAAAAACGACTAATTCTACAGTGCTCAGGGCTTTAGAATCCTCTATGTCCTCTACTTTCTGCCGTAGGGCTGTGGAGCACGAGGATGAAGCAGCTGTGGCAAAGCTGAGATGAATTAAAAAGAATCTTCTGTCTATACTCTGTTTAGCCCCTTGAGAATCAGCAGTGTCCTCCCTCAAGGTCAGGTTGCATCTCATTGGGATTCTTATTAAAGGATCCCCACAGCATGATGCTGTCGCAAACATGTTTGACTTTTGGGATGATGTGTTTGCCTAGCACTATGTAAGGAGTAGAACTACTAAGGAGTACAACAAGGAGTCTCCTCTGTTAAGAATGGCATATTCCATGTTTACTGCCCCCCCTTATGACTTTGTTTTTTTTTTAATAGGACTTTTCTCATAAGGGCCCCGTTTCTAGAGAGCTTAACTAATGAGGCTCTTGGCTGCATGCCTGATTAATGTCATGTGTAATCTTCACAGACTGGCCTTTTTATTAGCAAATGACTGACTGATTAGTATTCTGTGAGTTGTTCAAAGCTTGATCACGTATTAGTTAAAATTAGTGTAAAAGCTGATTTTCCTCCCAGAACAACTGAATCATGACGAAGAATGAATAATTTTGCTGGTTAAGTCATTTGCTAAAGTAATTTGTTAAGGGTTATCAGAATAAACTAATCTCGATGGATGCCAAACCTTTCAGGTTTCACTTGTAAAAAAACTATTTAAAAACCATTACATTTTTCTCCTTCCATTTCACAATGATGTTTTTAACTGTGTTGATCTATCAGATGGAATCTACAAATACGTCTAAGGTTGTAAGGTGATGTTATGAAAAAGATAAAGAGAAATGAAAACTTTTCCAAAACAAATGTCACTGCACATACATGAATGATGATTCACATTCAGATCATGTTTTTTTCAAGCTTAAATTACTCATCTGCCTGTGAGTCTGGGTCTGTCTGCATACCTGTGCCTGACATTAAAGTACTTATCTCTGTTTTTTGTTTTTTTCTGTCTCAACCCCAGACAAATTTGGCGTACCCAGGTACCTATTTCAGAGTCAGTGTCGGGAAGCCTGTCCTGAGGGGTTCTTCCACTCTGCAAGAATGAGTTGTGAGCCGTGTCCTGCAGAATGCATCGTTTGTGCTGCTTCAGATCGCTGCGTCCAATGCAGCATGGGATACACGCTCAAATATGGCCACTGTGTCAAACTGGAGTGTAGCACAGGTTAGAGACTGTAATGCACATGGTCACCTCTGCAAACACTATACATTTAAAAGGTTAATTTTAAGACAGATAAACCCTGAACAATGATTTATCTGATAAAATCCACCAACAACAGGTATTTTATATAATCAACATTAAACCACTAAGAATCTTTCATCCCAAACATGATTTCCTATACCTTACATTTTTGGTGATATAAGTAAACAAAACAAAGCAGTTTGTGAACTTCATATCTGTCTGCCTATGTTGTTTTTGTTGAATATCTTAATGATTAACTTTCCATATTTGTTTGTTGTTCAGAGATATTTGTCGTACTCTGAAAGTCACATCTGAGATGAGCTCAGATGTTCTTTGCATGATGTTAGTTATATGATTAGAGACTCTGGGCCATATTTCTATCATCTCTGATATTTCAACAAAGAGAAAAATGTTAGAAACAAGTCCCTGGCAGGCCTTAATCTAGTCCATCTTCCAAAGCCCACACCCTGTATTCACCCCCTCCTTTTTTTCTGATCTTAATCCTCATTTTTATCCTCTGAGAGATTGGGAATGATCAACACCTCACAGTTTATATCAAAGCATGAGATCAGCTGGGAATAGCAGCCAGGGGAGAGTTGAGAGAAAGCTAGAGCTCCTGCTCTTTGCAGCATATGAGATAAAGAAATAAGGCGGAGCTTTCTGCACCTGTTGGTCCGAAATGAAAGTTGATTCCAGCAATATGAATTTTTATATGAAGAAGAGCTTGCATCATTAAAGTAGATAAATTACTTTCCTTTCTCTGTTTTTCATGTTCTGTGGGAGTATTGTATTCTCCTATTACATCTTGATTTAGTTCATTTAAAATAGACAGGATTTATTATGCTTAAAGTTAACAGTTACCAAAGCACCTTTTTGTAAAATGACAAATAAAATCTGTTTAGAATTATCTCTCTTACATGTGATCATCACTGTTTCAGGAGAGGTTTCAGATGCAGAGGAGGATGGCTGTCTCCCCTGTGATGAGGGCTGCAAGAAATGCAAGCGCGGTAAGTAGACCACATCTCTTCGTTTATCTCACTATCGCCAGTTTAAAGTAAAATAAATCCGAGCTATTTTGTTCAGTTTAGAAATTTTACCAGGATGAAAGGATATATCCCAGGAAGAGATCTGCAGAAATGTTCTTCTTGCTTCCTGCTGCATGTTGATCAACCATCAACAGAACTATACAGCTGCTGCAGCTTGACGTCATGAATAGCTCCTGGACTCTGGGTTTTCCTCTGACGACTACACAACACAATTGTGTTATTGAAGTAGAGCGTGAGATTTGGACAAAGGAAATCTGAGAAGTGATTAAAAACAAATATTTGTTTAAACAGGCAAATTGTTGCGCATACAACACTCAAAAGTTTTTTCCAAAATTAGGAGCCTTAGCATATTTTCCAAGGAAGCAATGAAAAGGTTCAAGGCCTTGTAAAAGTGTTTACACCTTTTTAAGTTTTCCACTTTTTTTTTTTTAATGAACAGATTCCTATGCATTTAAACATATTTAAGGATTTTTGAATGACAGTGGTCAAACAGCGAGGAGGTTTTCCTCAGGAGTCGAGAGGGAGAAGTGATCATTCAGTCAGAACAGTCATCTTGTGTGGAACTGTTGCTGTGGTCTCTGAGGTTGATTATTTCATAGGGCTTCACAGCAACCACCAACAGGTTTAAATCGGAAGGCAACTGGACTTTTGCTCAGTTATTTTTAAGACACTTTGACACCTATCCAGGAGTCTGTAGTTGGAGTGCTGATGTATTTAAGCAGCATGGAAGTCCATCATGCTGCACACAATCCAAGTCAGATGCAAATCAAGTCTTTAAAAACCTGAGTGAAAGTCTGGTTCCCTTCCAATTTAAGCCTATTTGTGGTTGCTATGACCCTGATGATTAAGAATTTACACAGGCATGTTCACAATATAGTAATAATAATAATTGAACTTTACTAATCTCACACTGGAGAAATTTCACTCTACATTTAACCCATCCCCTTGGGGAGCAGTGGGCTGCCATTGTGCGGCGCCCGGGGAGCAGTGGGGGGTTAAGGAGCCAGAGTGCAGGCTGTGGGGATCGAAACCCGGTTCTTGCAACCTTCTCATAGCAACCTTCTCTCCCGTTTCATTTTGCTCAGTCTTTATTGAAAAATGACTCAAGCTCAGACAGACAAGTCTTGCCATAGATTCTGGATGAATCTAGGTCTGGACTTTGACTGAACAATTCTAACAAATGGACATTCTTTAACCTAAGCAATTCCATGTTAACTCTGGCTCATATCCTACTAAAGAGTGTACATCTGGCCCAGTCTGCCCTGCACTGAGCTTCATCTGTTTGGACATCAACTCTGATGCTGAAGAAAAGCATCCTACCACCACCATGTTTCTTAATGGGACTGGTGTGTTCAGATTAATCTGCTGCAATATCTTTCAGTTTGGGTTCATTTAACCAAAAGTCCTTCTCCTATATGTTTTCTGTCTCCTGGAAAACTTAAAGCAGGATATTTTATGTTGTTCTTACCATTTCTTTCTTCTTGCCGTTCTCTCTCTAGGACTAGATTTGTGGAGTGCACAGTGATAGTTGTTCTGTTGAATTTTCCCAACTGGGTTGTGGATCTGTAAAGAATTTAATGTGCTGAATTTGCTTTGCAATGATGTGAGAAGATTCTATAAATGACCTTGCAACATCTTTCTGTTCCCTGCAGTCTGCTTTAGGCCATATCTCTCACTCTGGAAAAAAACTGCTTCTTCTCATAGTGAGTTTAGGTTTAGTACTGCATGGATGTGAGGAAGCTGCTGGTAGCTGTTTCATCCACATGCTCTGGAAAACATTAGTTACACTTTCTAAAACTATGTAAGATACAATCTGCAATGCCGCAGAAAGACAAACCTCCTTCCTCCTTTCAGAGATTATCATTACATACCACTGAAAGTTGTTATTGTGAAGTGAACTCATCTGAGGCAGAGATGGGCTGTTATTATGTCATTATATGTTTCGTCTGGAATATGTTGCTTCTGTCTGGCTACCAGTACGACCGTCCTGCTACCCATCATTTACACAAACCAAAGCTGTCAGTCAGCAGAGGAGGGATTAAAGATGAGCAGCTCATCTGCAGAGTTAGGAAACAACACTGATGCAAATATTTTCAGAATGTTTAAACGGAATATTTTAATCCTGTTTGTAAAAATATTAAAATTTATTCATAGTCTTACTTTAATTGTTTGGTTTGTTGAATTTACTGGCAAGCATCAATGCATACAGTGCATTTAAACAGTTTTCATCCCAAACTTGATTGTATCTAAATGTTATGTTATGCATTAGACCAATAGTGAAATGGGAGGAAAATGATAGGTTTTTTTTTATGTTTCTTGTTTCCAAGCATAACTACTAATGCATCTCATTTTTCTGATGTGAAGTAAACTTATCTTAGGAAAAACAAAAAACAAAAAAAAAAAAAAACTGAAACACCAACCTCCTACAGAGAGGAGAAAATCGAGAACAAAAATTATTTTTATGCAGCTTTTTTTTTTGGTTGATATTTTCTGCATCTACAAATCAAAGATTGTCACTCAAAGAAAAGATGTGTTTAGAAGATGTGGCTTTTAAAGTTAAAGGATTCAAAATCCAAAGGTTTTCTTGTTTAAACCAAAGTATGAGATACCCCCCTCCTTAAAACTACTGTTAAAACACAAAGTCAGGGAGTATCTCCTGGAAGACGCCCTCCAGCAGAGCTGCACAGGCTTGCAGAGTGAATGCCAAGTAGAAGTGGAGAAAACATGTGGAGACCCTGCACTTTTACTGAGACACTAAGAAGCTTTATCATCTGTGTTTCAGGTTTCCATATCTGTTATTTTTATCCTGAAAACAACAGTGTTGTTTATTATTTTACTGGCTCTCCATACAAACAGAGTAGAGTGAGGGCATTTTTTCTGCTTGGATGTATTTAAGATAATCTTATCAAAAGTAGACAGCAAGTCAAACGTGTTGCTGCTCTCTTTGATTCACAGTGAACCACTTTTTTGTATTTCTCAGCCATATTTCCTGAAAGTTGTAGCTCTGGAAGTCGGTTGAAGTGATAGATTTAGGTGATGGGTTCATCGATCACTCGTCATGACTGCACTCCCTTACACTTTTAATTGAACTGAACAACCTTAAAGTGTGACTGTGTGCACTCACATCACCTTTCTTCCTTAATTGCTGACATGATGTGCAGCTTTTTATTGCAATTTGAAAAAAAAGAGAAAAGTGTGAGTGCTTGCACATTCCACAAGTCAGTACCTCAGAAAGTGTACAGCAGCTGAAATGCTCCCCTCCTACTTTGCACCCTTAATATTTATGCGGGCGCTATTTTCTCCCTCTCCTAGACACAGCCTGCAGGCACCATTTCCGCCTTCTTACCCGAGTTTTCTCCTATACCTCAGTCCCTCCCACCTCTCCTTTTTCCCCGTCTTTCTATCTCTGTATGAGTAATTGCTTTCACAGGTTGTGGCTTGTTGATGCTATTGGAGTGAAAAACCGGTGCAATGTTAAGTTAAGGGTGCTGGAAGGAGACAGAAAGAGGAATGGGATGTGGGGGTCGGAGGAGGATTAATGCCCCAAGGGAAGATCTGCAAGAACATCTTTTAAAACCATCCTTTACCTTCTCTCCCTGCCTGTCTGATCTTTTATTTCTTTTCTTTTACCCACACCGCTCACTCCCTCTGTCATTGAAGATGTTGTGACATTTTTAGATCCGGAGGTGACAGTGAGGGTCCTCCAGAGTTTCTAGCTGAATGGTTTTGATGGACAGCTGAGATTAATTAGTTTGAGGGAAAATGTCCTCCCTTTCTGGTTTCTTTGGGTAAAAACAACGTCTTACAAACTGACTTGAAATACTTGCTAGAGTGTTCCAGTTTATTTTATTTACCCTTTGTAAATATGTGTGGAAAACCTTAAAATAAACAATAACCTCAAGCTGAAAAGAAAGTCTAAATATATGCTTTCAAGCATATATTTTAAGCATATATTTTGGAGTAGAGGAAAAAAACTCATTTACATATTGTATTTATTCATTTACCTACCATAAGCTTTATGATTTCAATTTGGATTAAACGTTTATGCAGACATTTTAGTATTGTTTCAGTGAGTCTATGCTCCATTTTAAAATATCTATCCGTTTTGAATTAAATCTGTCAAAAACATTAATAAACTTTAAAATATAATTAAATTATGTACTGAAATAGCTGAAATAAGCTTGAGGGACCTCATTCATCTAAGTCAAACAGGTAATGGTGTAACAGGATCCTCCTCTCAATAAGGAATTCCAGTTGCTTCCTTTTGGATGCTGGTATCTTCTTCTAAGATGTAGGACAAATAGATTTGACAAGTTGTTTTTGTTCAGTGGTCAGATGATAACAATGGCTTTATATATTTTTCCCCGTCTTATCTGTGTATGATATGTTATGTCAAGCTGTGTATTTATTTATTATGTCTGTCTGTCTGTCTGTCTGTCTTACATTTTTGTAATCCAAAAACAGTACAAAACAGCAGCGGTTCTACTCTGAGTCCTCCCCGGGTGACAGAGCTCCCCACCCTATCTCTAAGGGAGAGCCCAGACACACTACGGAGAAAGTGTGTTTGGGCTCCATAGATGACCATAGATGAGGGTAGGAATGTAGATCGACCAGTAAATCATGAGCTTTGCCTTTTGGCTCAGCTCTCTCTTCACCACAACAGACCAGTACAGCGCATTCTTTAGGAGCATATATGGACACCCTTATGCTTGAACATGGTGTTCGTTATGGACAATCTATGATGAGCACAGAAGTCAAACAACAGAAAACCACTTCAGTTCAGGTCAGGTGGGCCATTCCTCCCAACCACACCTCCCCAATCCTCTGAGGAGTACCTTTTTCTTTAAAAATGTACTTTTATGAGAAGTCTTACAGCATTGTACTTTTTACTTTTACGTGAGTAGACTAGAAAAGCACTCGGAGAGCACAGACCTCCGCCAAGTAGCTAATTTCCCCTGACTTTCAGGCTAAGTTAATATGTGTATTCAAAGAATTTTTGCAAAAATTCCCAGATCCAGATGGTAATCTGGATCCTCACCAAAAAGTAATGTATTGTTCCTTGGACTGAGGTACACACTTGGTTAAAAAAATGCATTAAAATCCATAAATCATAACTTTTCAAGTTAACCTGCACATAGACAGACAGACAGACAGACAGACAGACACACAAGCTCTCCTAAAACATAACCTCATTGATGGAGGTAAATATTACTACTCCTACTTGAGTAAAATCTCTGGCTCCTCCATCCACTGTGAGCAACTTCCCTTAATGAAAACCAACTTGTTCTAATCTAAACCATTAAGAGAAATGCTACCTTATTTTTTGTACTCAAACCTTTTTAGTTTAACTGTTATTTTTTCCCATGGTAAACAGTATGTTGTAACTTAACCTATTCTAACATACTATAACTACTGATTTTTACTTTTTAACTTAAAGAATATCCGGTTGTTATGATAAAGTAGATCAGTTACTCAGTACAAAGTTGCCTTTTTACCAAATGACTTCAAGTAAATAGCAACTTCATTTCAACTTCCAGAGATTGTTTGACTGCAGTATATAATAGCTGTAAGGAGTTAGAAAGAAAAAACAAAACAAAACAAAAAAACATGCAACCAAACACCCTTACAAAACTCAGAAGAATCAAACTTTTTGAGGTTAAAGAGTTTAAATGAACTGAAAATCCGACAAAGACTTTGCTGATTTTATTTATTGTTTTAATCTGTTTCTCAGTTCTTCTCTAATCACACTAAGGTGGTGACTAAAAAAACTGGCCAATGTATTGTCCCCTAGGAACCTGGACGATCCTAATGCATGAGATTAGAGCGCCTCCCTCTGGTGTGTACAGGAACTGCTTTTCAAGCTGAATTATTCAACCTCTGTAGAGAGCCTGTTAAGTCCATTTCACATCCAAATAAAATGTGTCTCAAGTCCAAAAAGAAAAAACTAAACTAAGACTAATTGTTATTATTTAAAAAGGCAAAAGCTGAAGAATCGACTAATATAAAGTTCTTGTATAAATCTACCTTTACTTAAAAAATATTATTTATAATTAATCATGTTATAATTATTCATATCACAAACATTAGATTTATTTTTTATTTTTATATAATTTGAAGTTAGCTAAATATCTAAACAACCTTATTTGAAGTCTTATATGTTAAAATGTTTAAAATGAATGTTTTTTTTTCTTTAGGAGTGCGACTGAAATTATGTTTATGTTTTCAATTCGATCTTGACAGCCACTTTGCACGTCTGCCATCTTTAACTACATCTAATGAACTTTCCAGCTTTACTGCTGCTTTTTTTTTTTTTTTTTAGACATTCTTTGTCTGACATTTTGTGCCATGGTAAAAAATGAGACAAACAAAATGAATGTCTTTCCATAAAATAAACATTTTGCACTGTTGGACAAAGTTAAATTACCCAACATGCAGAGGGGCTGGGAATAGACTGACTAATTATCTTTTTCTCTAATGTATTTTGATTTCCAGAAGATTCAGATGAGCAGAAGCAAAAAACTGTCTGTCAGGAATGTGAAGATGGACGCTATCAGTAAGTTTCAGTTTCAGTAGCATCGTCCAGCTTCAAGCTCTCACACTCACTGGGGAGTTTATGTGCTGCAGGTTTGGTGCTGATTGCCATCAGTCCTGCCCAGATCGGACTTACGATGTGAAAGAGACTATGACCTGTTCTCCATGTGAAGACAAACACTGTGAAATCTGTGACCAATCTCAGTGCTACTGGTGTGATGATGGATACTATGTTTCTGGTAACATCTGAACTATGTATATCTGTAGACTTAGGAACCCTGTGAATAGAAAATAAGCAGCTCATTGTTAAAATAAAAGGTGTTTAGTCACCAGCTGTTTAATGCATATAATTTAAAACCCTGAAAATGTTGGATTTAGTTGGGATAAAAGGGACCTCATATGTTATAAAGTTGCGCCTTTTTTTTTTGTGTCCAGATGGAGAATGTGTGGATCATTGCCAGGAAGGATACTTTGTGGATGAGGAGAGTCAGGAATGCGAGCCTTGTCACAGAGACTGTCGCTCCTGTGGAGGCCCCAGATACGATGACTGTGACTCCTGTGAAGACGGCTTCACACTAGACAAAGGGGAGTGTCTCAGTGGGAAACAGCTCACTGCATGTACTGAGGGAAAGTTCAGAAACAGTGCGTCAGATTGTCAATATTTACTCAAAATTATAAAACCGAAAAATCTATATAAAATCCAGATATTTGAAAGTATAAAACTGTCTTTCTTTAGCTTTAATTACTTAGTTGTAAACCAAAGTAAACTTGGTAATATTCTTTTGCATTCTGTGTTCCTTTTGCATAAGGTCAGGATAATTGTGAACCGTGCCACTCATCATGTAAGACCTGCTTTGCAGCAGAGAAGGAAAACTGTAGCAGTTGCAACCCTGGTAAAGCAATTCTACACCACATACACTTTTCGTAGCTATCCAGAATCTTCAGGTAAAATTCTGGATCATGGATACAGCTTCTGGTGGCCTCATCACACAATTTTGTTGGCATTGTTTGCTGCATCTAACAGATTGCATCGATTCTTCAGGTCCACCTCAAATGATCAGCTAGATGCTATATGGCAGAAACATGGACACAGCAGGAAAAAACAAACATCAGAACTGGTTGAGGAAAGGATTAGAGACTAAAAATAACCTTTTAGGATGGTCCTGACATTAACGTCGCACTGAGAGTTGTTGTCCACAGGTTAAGTGCTTACAAACATTTGTGATATGTTTTATTTTATGGAACAATAGATGCTCCATACAGAAAATGATAATCTACACATCATACGGGTGTAGATTAATCCAGGACATGATAATCTGAAAGGAATCAATAGAAGACAGCATGACTTAAATCATTTAGCCTCTTATCCAGTGGCTTCTTCATATCTGACTGTAGTAATAGGCTTAGAAAACTAAGATAGTTTCTTAAATAGCCCTTATAGAATGATATATTTGTGTTTTCTCTTGCCTGTAGGACATTTTTTATCAGTGGATCAGACTTGTGTGACTCATTGTCCATCTGGAACCTTTGTAAACAAAACATCTGGAGTGTGTGATTCCTGCCTTAGTGGGTGTATAATGTGCATGAACGCTCAAGCCTGTCAGCGGTGTCGGACGGGACTTTATCTACAAAATGGAACCTGTGTAGTGGAGTGTCACAGGTGCTTTCCCTATTGGCTTTTTATTTATTTTAATTAGCAAAAAATGTAAAGTATGTGACTGCTATCGGTCCCTTCTCTGCCTTTCTCAGAGGGTTTCCACAGGATGATAAATGCCACCAGTGTGACTCAGGGTGTGGATCATGCAAAGATCGTCCCTCCAACTGTTTGAGCTGTGAGAGCCCTTTTTTGCTGCTGGACAACTCCTGCTTGTCCTCCTGTCCAAGCGGCTACTATGACAACAACACAGAGTGCTACCACTGCCCAAAACACTGTAGTGAGTGCACTCAGGATGGACTCTGCAAGAGTAAGTGGGGATGGTGGATCTGTAAAAGTTAAGAGCTGAAGTAATTTAAGAAGAAGGAAATAGGTAGGAGGTAAAAGTGAACAGATCCGGAAATTTGGCAACTTCTCTGTCTATTTTCTAGGCTGAAAGGAAACTAACTTTAACAGCAGGAGGAAGATAAAAATAGGAAGAAAGCTACATGAAAACAAAGTTCTAAGTACGGGACAGATGGTGCCAAAAAAAAAAAAAAATGTTTTACAAGTGACTTTAACAAACAAAGGGGTCATTAGTGATCATATCCCAGTGATTTCAGCAGTTCTTTTTTGTTTGTTTTACCTTACACAATTTAATCCCTCTGTTTTAGAGTGTGCAGATTACTACTTCTTGTATGAGGATGAGTGTGTGGACGACTGTCCCAAAGGTCAATTTGCCAGTGAACAGCAGCAGGCATGCATGCAGTGTCATGCTGACTGTGCCTCATGTGATGGACCGGGTGAGGATGACTGCGATGTGTGTCGCAACCCTAAAGCTGTCCGATACAACGGAGAGTGTCTGGCCAGATGTCCAAACAACACCTACTATGATGAGAAGACTAATGAATGCAGAGGTAAGGGAAGTAGAGGAGTATGATTAATTAAAATAAAAGTTTTATGCACATTTTTCTACAAGATGTTCTCTCTAGTTTCCACCTAGTTTCCATTAATATTCTTGGACACAGCACTTTGAGAGTCAACCTGATCTGTTTAGCTGGTTCTAATTCCTTCTCCTGCAGCTTGTGACGAGTCATGCCTGACCTGTTCAGGCTACGAACCCACCGACTGCCTAAGCTGTGACACCAACAGACGCCTGGATGATAGTGGACACTGTGTGTGGTACAGCCAGTGCTCCATGGAGTCATACGTTGGCCTGAATGGTGACTGCCAGCAGTGTCACACACGATGCCATCGCTGTAATGGTCCAGGCGAGGACCACTGCCTCAGCTGCAACGACCCATACTTTCTACTGAGTGAGTCATCAAGGTGTCAGTCTGGAGGCCTTCAGTGTAGGAAAACTGCTTTAAACATCTCTGTGGCTGTGCCCTTTAGACAGCACCTGTGTGAAGGTGTGTCCCGTGGGTTACTACGCTGATGACAAAAGTGAGCGCTTGTGCGAGCACTGCCACTTCAGCTGTGAGTCCTGCGACGGACATTACAGTCAACAGTGCACTACCTGCAAACCAGGATTTTTTAAACAGGCTGGGAGTTGTGTCAAAACCTGCTCAGAGAGGTTAGGAGACATAAAAAAAACCTTCCCTCCCCATTGTTAATTGCTATTAACACCTGTCCACAATTTCAGCTACTTTGGCAACAAAACCACCATGCTTTGTGAGCGATGCGACCCGTCCTGCAGCCAGTGTGAAGGCAGTGGCAACAGGCACTGTCTGGGCTGCAGAGAAGGTTATGTGTACATGAGGCAGTGGGGTCAGTGCCTGAAGAGCTGCCCTAGAGGGTACTTCAAAGACCCCTGGTCCACAGACTGTCACAAGTGTCATGCCACCTGCAAGACCTGTAGCGGTAGGAAGAAGATGTCATGACTAATTGATGCTCTGTTGTTTTTATCTGTAAATATGAACAACAAAATTGGTTTTCAATTAAACTTTTTATAAGGTGTAATGCTGTTGATCTATTTAGAGTACAGTTTAAGAGTCAACAATATTGCGCTTCAAGTAATACTCCTGTTCTTCCAGATGAGGGTGCTCTAGCCTGTTTGTCATGCTATGATGGCTTCACCTTTGAGGGGAGCTTCTGCAACAACCCCTGTTTTATAGGCTTCTACCCAGCCTCAAAGGTAACAGGGTACAAACCATTCCTCATATTTATATTTCATCTTCCATAATCTAAAGGCTTTTTAATATTATTCAAAAGCGACGTGTTCAACAGTTTTTGAAGCTTTGTGAAGGTTTTTCTATGGAATTTGGCTGCTTCTTCATTTTAATCCAGTTCATGCACCAAACAGTGACACATTTTTAAGGTGTACTAAAATGATAAAGTTGGACAAATTATTTGAAAAAAACAAAACAACAACAACAAAGACCTAAAAAAAAAAGACATAAAATATGAATAATTTGCAGATTTTAAATGACCTTGCTGCTCAAACATGTTCTTCTTATCAGCTGTTTTCTCAAAAATTCACACTGTTAGTAATTTGTTTTTCACAGCCTTTTCTCATTATAAGTAAGGGAGAAAAACTCTGTCTAGATCAGAACAGAGCAGATTCCTGTGCCATAAGGGCCATATGATGAACTGTTCTCTCTTTGCAAAGATATGAAAAATAAAGTGCAGATTGAGTGAAATTCATTGATCTCCCTTTATTTAACTAGGGTGAATAGTTTAATACTTTTTTCCCACTACACAATATGATAAAGAAAATTAGGAGTTAAAAGAAACAGTAAAAATATGTTTATTATGTT